GCCCCCCGGCCTGCCGCTGCCGCCGCAGCCACCGGCGATCAGGTACGGGAGCCGGGTCGGGGCAGCGGGCGAGGCCGCGGAGTCGGGGAGCGCCGCCGGGGTCGCCGGGCGTCTCTGGCGGGGCTGCGCCGCCTCGGGGCCGCCGGGCCTTCGGCCCCGCCGCTCTCTGGAGCGCGGCGGCGCCCTGGGCCGCGCCGGGGCTGCCGCGCCGGGGCCGCTCTCCCCGCTTTCCTCCCCAGCAGCGTCCGGGGCCGGCGGGTGTCCCAGGGCTCCCCCATCGCGGCGGCCGTGCCCTTGTGCTGCTGGAGCCCGGCGGGCATCTTCCACCTCCTCACCGCCAAGTGGCATTTGCTTGTGCCCTCCAGGCCCCTTGTTCAGCCTCCTTTCCCCCAGCCCTGCTTAACTTTGCACTTCCCCCGGCTGCCCGGCTAACGGTGCTGCTTCTCGCTTTGCAGGGAAAAGGATACAGTAAGCAGATCCTGGTGCTGGGCCTGGATGGGGCTGGGAAGACTAGCGTTCTCCACTCCCTGGCAACTAACCATGTCAAGCGCAGCGTGGCTCCCACCGAGGGCTTCAATGCCATCTGCATCAACACCGAGGAGTCCCAGATGGAGTTTCTGGAGAGTGAGTGAACCTGTTTTAGTGCAGAACATAAAATGAGTTCCTATTTTGTGCCCTAGAGGTCAGGCATATATTTTAAAAGCTCCATGTTCCTGCATGCCTGCTCCAATAACATGAAGTTATGATTATTTTCACGTTGGGAATTCTCTTTTCCTACCCAGCCTCTTTGAAGGACACACTGGTGTTAGGTCAATTTTCATTCAGCCCTGGCCACCAGGGAGTTCTGCTCTCAGAGAGAGAAGGGTAACAAGCCTGATTGGGTGAAACCACCCCAAAGGAGAGATTTCCCCTGTAAGGCCTGTATTGTGGTCCATAGCTGTCGTACAGCTTCTCCTTGGTGCTCATGCCTGGCCAGGGGCAAGAGCCACAGAGGAATAAGTAATAAGTGAAAGAAGAGAGGAGGAAGAGAAAAGCTTTGTATGCTTTTTGTTCAAAAGCCTCATAAGTGGTGTTTTCTAGTCTTTAAAAGCTTTTGAAGGTCTATAGCATTTTGCTAAAATTTCTGTATTGTCCTTTGCACTGATTTTGGGGTATTGTCCATGCCTGCAGAGGGCATCTCCTGTGATGCTTTTGGGATGTCACAGCTGTTCAAGGTGCCGCTAGCTAATGGGAAAGGTGCAGGCCGTGGAGTCAGGTCAGTCCCTGGTACAGAGAAGCTGACATCCCAGCTTCATCAGTGCCTGCTTTCTGTGGAGGAAGAAGCTGCCCATTGCTTCCTGCTGTTTCTGCACTGTACTGTACCAGTGCTCAACTGTCTCAGTTGGCAGCTAGCGCATAGATGCCTCTGGCCTAAAGGAGTTATGCTATTCCCAGGTAAGTTTTTGAGGATGAGACCATTAAGGCAGAGTTTCATTCCCAGTCTCGATAGCATAGGAGTCTCTGCAGTGGCTTGGGGAGAAATCATCTCTGCAGATATAAATGTAGTTTGTGCTCCTCACCTAGTTGGTAAAAGGGTGTTTCCTACTGGGATGTGCTTTGCCTGTCTGAGCCCAGAGAAACCCACAGTATCTCTTTTCCTGCCTGGGGATGGTCTGGGCCCAGCACTGCACACCCCAGAGCAGAACCTGTTGTTTCTGAGTCATCCTTCCCTCTCTGGTCCAGGTTGGTAGTGACTGAGATGTGATGGCTACGATCTGACCCATGGGAAATGCAATGTCTCAGGCCAGTTTCAGCCAGGTAAATCCATGCATGGCTCTCTAATCTGGTTACTTATCCAGTCTGTACCATCGCCTAGTCCTGGGGTTAGCAGCCTGTGCTGTGATCACGTGGCACAAGGTGATCAGCAAACAGCAAGGGTTTTATTTTGCTGGCTTAGACAGATAGAAAACTGTTCTATCTTTTTCTTTGTACCATCATACAGATAAGTGGGTGGTATTTTGTCTCTGCAAGGTATAGGAGCTCCTTGCTTCTGCTGAGTTCCTACTGGTTTGGGAAAAGAAAATGTGAGGTTGCTGACCCCTGGGTTATGCTATGCATGAATGTACTTAACAAAGGGAGCGGTGCTGAGCCCCTACAGTATCACAGTACAGAATCAGAGGCCTCTGTCCCGAGTGTTATGTGTCTGTCACAGCCCTTTAGCTCCTTTCCACAGTGGCAGACCTGCAGTTCTGCCTACAGGTACACCAGGGTGCTTGAAGAAGAGGCAGACATGCCCCAGCAGGAAATATTACTTCCCTTTCCATATTCTTGAAACTGCTGAACCCTTTTGACTTTTAAGTGAAATTGCTTTGAAAGAGAACAAAGTCATGGAGGGCAGTAAAAGATAGTGGACTAGCAAGTCAGTTTTGAAAAGAGCTCCTGTCTGCGGCAGGAGACAATTATATGGAACCCCAGATATGTTGCTTGGAAAACTTGCTGCTTTTGAGAGACTCACCCATGCCTTTTGAGCACCTCAGAACTCTTTGAGCAAGTGGTCCTGCAATATAGCTGGAGAAGATTTGGAGACCTGAAAACACATCTGAAATACTTAACAGTTATTCCTTTTCCTATTACACTCAGCAAAGTACCGAACTCTTTGTCCCCAGATGGGAACAACAATCTCAAACTTGCTGCCTATGGATTCACCACAGAATTGTTGTAAGGTGGACAGTTTTCCTCTGTACCCAGGAGAGAAGAGCTCAGGTAGAAATGTATCCTGTGCAAAGATTACTCAGCGGTTGCCTGAAGAGTCTGCTGGGACTTGACTTTTCTCTCTTCCTAAGCACTTCTGGTTATTGACCGTATTAAAACTGTAGGAGTTTTGAACCAGTTCTTAGTGTCATACAAATATGAGAGAGCCTCATATACAGAGAGAGCCTCTCAAATATGAGAGCCTTCCTCACCTTAGAGCTAAATTTCTTCTCTGGAAATTGTAGACCTGCTTTGTCTTAAGATGAGACAGGCATGTGGAGATAGGTTATATGGGGACATTCTCACATGGTGTTATGGACACTGAACCTCTTTCTACTCTCCCTAATTGCTTGAGAGCAAGAACCAACAAGGCAGAAAGCAACCATAAAGAAAGTGAACCCAACTGAACTGCACCTCTGGGAGCAGTGTTGCTTGAATCATTTGGTGAATACTGTGCTGCTGTCTTCTCTTCCAGTCGGGGGCAGTGAATCTCTGCGTTCCTACTGGAAGATGTACTTGCCCAAAGTGCTGTTGCTAGTCTATGTTGTGGACTCGGCTGATCATGCCCGACTGCCTATGGCGAAACAGCTGCTTCATCAACTGATCCAGAACAACTCCACCCTGCCCGTAGTGATTCTGGCCAACAAGCAGGTAAGAGTTCCCTCCTGCTAGCTGAGCTTGGGCTGGCAGCAGCTCTGGAAACAGCAACAAAGCCTTTCAAAGGAGGCTTTGTGCCTCTAAGGAGGCCACATGGCTGAGAGTCGTTCTGACACACCTGTTGACCGCAAAGCAAAATAATCTGAGGTTGAGTTTTGGATCTGCAAGATGCAGGTCCTGTGCCTGGCAAAGATGCAGTCAGAGCTGTGGGTGGAAACTGCTGCACAGGTTTGAGAGCTGCAAGGGAGACCACAGTTAGATCTGGAGTTAGGTTTCTGTTCTGAGTATCTGCCTAGAAGTGCCACTCTACCTAGTAGCAGCTAAACAGTGAAGCACCATTGTTTGCCTTCAGATTGTCCAGTTGGTTGCTCCTAAGGCTGCTGTTGAAATCTGAGAGAAGGAGCAGCTTTCCTCACAAGGCAGTGCTTCCTACTAAGCTCTTTGTGAAAATGTTGATGATTGGTGCTGTACCTGGAATAGAATTGAGCCTCCGGTATGGTCAGATGACGGAACAGCCCAAGGTTTTTAATCACAGATTTTCTTTTATCAGGGCTATGTGCTCAGTTTGCTCTACATTGTCACCTCCTAAATTTCTAGTAACTGAGGCATGTTACTATCATTTGTGTTACTCTTGCACACAAGAGCAGGCGTGGGCTTCATCAAACTCAAATGCACCAGCAACAGTGGTGATTGAGAAGGCAGGCAGGGCATGACAGTCGTACGTTTGCCCTGGTCTTGTAACTCTCTCATGTACACTTGGGGTCTTGGGCCAGCCAGGCTTTTGTTTGCCTTTTACAGGTGGTCTTACAGAGTTATCAGAAACACTGGAATTAGTATAGAAACAGAACTGTACCCATATTTCTTTGTGAAGAACTTAGGTTAGGGATAAACTCTTTTCCCCAAAGCATTTTAGGGCATGAGAACTTGACCTCATAGAAGGTATGTAAGAATGGCGCCCCAGAGCTTTTGAGACCCTTCCCCTCTCTGGACGAAAGCAGCGGCTCAAAATGGGAATGGTGCCGCCACCTCTTGGAACTAACAGGCTTGTTTTATTTTTGTGTATCAGGACCTTGAAGGCGCGTATTGCATCACTGATATCCATGATGCTCTGGCACTGTCTGATATTGGGGACGAGAGGAAGATGTTCTTGATTGGTACCCACGTGGCAGAAGATGGCTCTGAGATCTCCTCCAGCATGAAGGATGCCAAGGAGCTGATAGCACAGCTGGTTTTGGAAACACAGTGATAGCTCTTTTCCTACAAGGTGGTGTTTGTGGCTGAGGGAGAGCAGGTGTTACTTATGGCCAGTTTGCCATGTAGCAACTGAAATGTACAGATATGTTTTCCTTGTGGGTGTGGAATTCCTCTGAAAGTGATGTCTAGTTGGTAAGAAAATCTAATTTATAGTGGTTTGAAAATACATTTGAGAAGTAGTCTATTTTTAGCATGTTTGTAGGGGGAAATTAGTCTCTCAGACAGCAGAGTTCAGGGGATATATGGCTTAGATGGGCTAGTAGCTTCATGCCAGGTGGGAATCAAGCACTGATGTCAGTGGAACAAAGTTGCATCCAGTGAATTTAACCTGGCTTGATATCTCAGGCTTAAACTGAAATATGTTTACTTCACAGATTTTATAGAATCCTGTTATTGGTGCTTAACAGGTATTCTGATAAAAATAAGACCTCATTTCTTGTCAGTGTCAGAAATTGAAAGTGCTGCGACTAGTATTTTTGACAGTGACAATTCTTGCTGTGTTGGAGCTGGCTGTTAAGGGAGTGGTAAATTGGTAATCTCTGGAAATTGGGTTGGTTTCTGGTTGTTTAGTGGGTAAGAACAAGAAAATGAAAGCAGTAATACATTAAGTGTTTCTTTGCCTACAGGCAAAAAACCAAAATGGTGTAATTTGAGGTAGTGACTGGAAGCATTTAAGTTAAATTGGCACCAAAGCTGGGAGACTCCTTCTTCAGGCTGAGCGGCTTATTTCAGCTTAGTCCGGGATGTCCTCGAGCAAGCAGTCTTACGTGTGAAAACGCTGTTGTTTCTTGAAAGTGGTTTCTATTAGCACAGCAGGCGGGGACGGTGATGAGCTGCTGATGGAGTGTCACTCTCCCAGTGTCCTCCTAATTATACTCGAAGGAGGGACCCGTGAGCAGTCCTGTAAAGGACCCGTTTTGCAACCGCATCTATTGTACGAGGCTTTTGTAGTTTTGTCCTTTGTAACAGATGCATAAAGCAGAAAATTCCACCCTAAGCCGTGGTCTGGGCTTCATTTACCCGAACAAGGAGTTGGGCTGCGGGGAACTCTCGAGGCCTCTGGGTGAGCCGCCGTGAAAACAGGCCTTGTCACCTCATCCCCGTCGGTACAGGCCTGGGTCCTACCGCTGCCGCCCTTCCCACCCGGCTTGTGTGTGCCCCGGGCCCGCCGGGAGCCGGGCGGGGCGGGCGGAGCCGTTGGTGCGGGCGGGGCGGGGCCGGGCCATGGCGGCCGCCGGGCGCATCCGAGGTGCGTGGGGGGCCAAGGCCCGAGGCCCGCGGGGCGGGCTGGGGCGGCCCCTCCGCTCCGGCAGCGGCTCCGCCAGCCCCGGCCCCGCGCGGGGCCGCGGTGGGGCTCGGAGGGAGGGAGGGCTCCCGGGCGCGGAGGGGCTGTGGTGCCGGCAGGCCCCTGGCACCGCAGGTGGGAGTGCTGGATCCCGGCCCCGATTCCTGGCCAGCGCTGCCCTCGGGGCACGTGGCTGCCTGAAATCACCCCTGGTTTCCTCACAGTGCGACTGTTTCACTGTCGCTGGCTTTCCTGTCATCCCATACCACACCCCCACACTTCGCACCTTAAAATACGGCCGGTTGTTTTCTATCGGCACCAAGTCCCAGTTTAACCCAGCTGCTATTCCCCCGAGGCTCTGAAAAGTTCCCCCCCTCCCGAAGCTACTGAAGTCAGTAATCAGGGCTAACTACACTGAGTCAGGTGGGAGCCTGCAGGTTGGTGGCCACTAGTGCCCAGGAGGAGGATGCTGATGAGTGGATGTGGTGTTGGGGGTGCTCTATCCTTCAGCCTTGAGGGCTGCCAGCATCCCCCAGTAAGGGGCATCCACTGGTGAGGAGCACTTCATGTGCAAGGTGCATTGCCAGACAGCTACACCGGGAAGGGACCAGGGAAAAACAATACAAATACCTGCTGAGCAATTGTATTCTGAGGAGATGCAAAAACTTCATCTGCCATACGATTATTTCGTGCTAAAGAGCAGGCAGCCCAGACCATGGGTGTTACCAAGCTTTTAAATTCCCCTATTTTTGTCTTTGCAGTTTCTTCATATTCATCTGTATACTCACACACCAGGTAAGAAACCCTCCCAGGCTCAGCCTCCTGGCTGAGTGTTGAAACTGTGCCCCGTTGTCTCTTGGGAGGGCTCAGCCGGGGATTACACCAAGCAGTGAGTCGATATATTGGATGACATAGTGGTAAACACTGAGAGGAAATGATGCCTGGTTTTCCCCTTCCCTCAGCTTTTCATGACAACATCTGACCATCCTGCTCCTTAAAAACGGAAGCTGTGACTGTTTGCTTTACAAGGAATTGATCTCAAAGGGAGTTGATCCCCCTTAAGCAGTGAGTCTGTGAGAGCTCAGGCAGCAGAGGGGAGGTGTTTCTTTGTCTGGCTGCAGCAAGTCCTCATTTTCCTTACTGGGAAGCATGAGCAGGACCAAACAACAAAGCGCTCCCCAGGGCTGTCTCATTGTCAGTGAGGTGGCTTAACTCCTTCAAATTGCAGAGCTGCTGCAGGTGCATCCTGTATGGAGATGCCTGTCTGTCTAGAGATTTTGCCATGATAAAAGAGTCAAAAGTAATCTTTTTTTTTATTAATTGGGAAAAAAAAATTTAATACTTAATGATTGTCAAGTTGAGGGACCTGATTTGAACATACGTGTGGCTCGTTCATTGGCTGGGTCATGATGCAAGCTTTGCACAGCAGTGTCCAAGCCAGCAGTGCAGGGCATTAGGGCCGTGTGCACGCTGTGCTAGATTTGGCTGTGGCCATGTGGTGGGTATGTGCCAGCAGCGGAGGAAAAGCAGCAAGCCTGCTTGCAGAGATAGTGCTAGCTCTGTGGTGCAGCTAGGCTGGGGGAGACCTCTGCCTGTTAATCCTTTACCCCCTTGCAACTTAGCAAGGAAAAGCTGCTGGGGAGCCGCTTGGGAATAAACAGCTGAATCTGGATTTTGGCTCCTGAAATGATATCTGCCTTCCTGACTCTGTCCCATTTTGAACTGGTGGCAGGGGGCCAAAGTCCTACAGGCACAGTTCCCTGTGTGGGATCTCAGTGGGAGCTGTGTTTCCAGTGTTGTAGCTGGCAATTGGGTGTGACGGGGAGATAAATCAGCAGGCATCTCACAGGGAGCGTGTGGTGAAGATGCTGTAACAGCAGCCTGCTGTTAGGATCTCTGGTGCTGAGCGCTCTGGCAAGCATTTGCGGGACTTGGCATCTCACTAGAGGTATTAACCTCATCAGAGAAACCACAGGTGTGTCCCCAAAGCACAGACTGTTTTCTACTGGCAAATATCTCTCTCTGTTGGTGTCCTTGTTGTTCTCTAGGGCTATGCTGCCTTATTGAAGGGTGATACTGAGGAGGGAAGCAATGCCCCAGGATTTCAACTTCTGTGCTTTTTCCATGGTGGGGCACTTCCACAGCTGCCTGCACAGTGTGGTTGTTCACCAGCTGGCTGGGGGCAGGCACCTGCAGCCCCAGTGGGTGGGTATGGGCTTGGTCTGTGCCATCCAAGAGTTGTGCAACACACTTGTGGCACTGGGTCATCTCGTTGTTCTTTCTGTACCATGCTCATAAAGCACAAGCATTTCCCAGCCATTGGGATTTCAGGCCTGGTACTCTTGATCAGCAGGAACAGCAGTGATATCTGATCTTTCTGAAAGCTTTTAGTCTGTTGTATATTCAATAAAAACATTTTCACAGCTGCTCCTAGGCCAGAGACCATGTATGTTCTTGTGTCTCTAAAGCATTTAAAATCTCTGTGCTAAATGGACTGAAATAAAATATGCTCCTAAAGCCATGAGGGTACAGTGCTATCTCCATGATGCCTTTTAGTAAACCACAACAGTGTTGATAACAGGTGTTTTTGTTTGTCTGGGCTCCCATAGGCTGGGAGATCATCCCTCTCCTACCTGCAGAGGTTTCATGTATATAACTAGAAAAGTTCCTTCCCACTCTACCTGCTGTGTACCAAAGAGACCTTGCAGTGAAGGCAGAATTGCAAATCTGTGTCTCTACAATCCAAAAGAAAGCACAAAAATTCATGGGCTGGTGTGTTTGCCAGATTGAATGGATGGAAAGTACTTGAAGAGAGAGATCCTTAAACACACTCTCTCAAGGGAATGGAGGCAAAAGCACTGGGGTTTCAGAGTGTGTTATATGGCTTTGAGTACAGCAGTGGCTTCTTTATGCTTTCTTTGTTTAACTGTATGTTTAATGGCATTTTTGTCCTTTTCTGCAATTCTGACAGGATACGTGTGCTTGCAGAACCCAAACCAGTAGCTTATGAAAGCAGTCCCAGGTAAGTAGGTGCTCAAACAGCCCTTGCTCAGGGGCTGGGGACTGATGGGGCTCAGGCAGATCAAACCCTTGGCCATTGTCTTGCTACTGCTTTCCTCTCTGTCTCCAGAAAAGCAGACTGAGCAATTCACTGCTTGAAGGGCTCCCTCCAATTTGCCCTTTCTTGTGTTCAGTCAAAAAACTGGGCTTGACTTGGGTCTTGCCTTTGTTGCCCTCTCTGAGCTGCCCAACTGAGATGTTGCAGGGTAGGATGGTGCTGTGGTGCAAGGTGACTGGACCTCATTGGAGCCACAGGCTGCTGTATCCTGGAGGACACAGTCCAGCTTTAGTAACAGAGTTGCTGTCTGCAGGATATGGTCAAGCTATAACTTGACAAGCCAGGGCAACAGTCTCTTGATAACTCTTCTCCATTGTCTGGATGGGTCTCAAAAAAGGCTCGAGAAACCCATTGCCCTACTGTTCCCTGTCCCAACTACTCTGAAATCCCCTCCCACCATGGCCACTCTCTCACTGGAGGATGAGCAACTCCAAATTAGCCCTGGGTACAGGAGAGTAACCACTAATGTGCTGTAAAACCTCACCCACTTTCCATGGCACACCCTGACTGTAACATTATTTTTACTGTCATACCTGTGGTGTAGTTAGGTGGTAATAGTGAGGCAAAAAAAATGTAATCATGAAACTCCCTCAGGGGTTTCAGAGATGTAATGAAATGACTCTTTCTGCACATCCTCCAGTAACTAAAACCAGACATAACTTGAAGGTTCTTTTGTTTTTGACTTGACAACAACCACCTGGAGAGTGTTAAGAAGTTCAGTGCAACAGAAGATGAATGCTCAAGGGATGGTAGTGGCACTTTAAAGCTGTGGGGAGCCATAGGGAACGTGTGTGTGTTCCATCCTAAGAAGGGAAGGATAATCCCAGCAAACACATTTCCCCTTTGTGCATATTACCAAAATTTCACACCCTTTCTGTTCTTGCTAGGCTTGAGTGGGGAAACCAAGAAACGATCTGTCCCCTATCATGGGGGGCTACGACAGCTCGACCATCTTCAAGAATATCGTTACTGTCCAAGTCCAAGAAAGACTTTTGCAAGCACCAGCGAAGGTCAGTGATGCAGTACCACAACCTAGGGAAGGAGGCAGCTCAGAGTGTGGTCTCTAATCAGGGGAGACATGCTGTCTCTTAGGGGAAGGGGAGATGCCATCTCCTCTGCTACCACCGCTGCCCCACAGGGAGCCCCATGGCATTGAGACTCACCAGGCTGTTTTGTGCTTGGAACAGGGGCTGCCTATAGCAGGGAAGAAAGTGCTATGGGAGCATAGTCACCCTGAGTGCTTGACTTCCAAAAGGGCTAGGAACTGGAGGGCGCTAAGTTTTGGTGCCCTTTTATTTCCTCATACCCACTGCCTGGCTGTGGGAAGGACTTCTGCAACACATGGTTGCTCATCTGATGATGCAGGTTCCCATCAGCAGCCTTAGGAGCTGTCTCTGATCTCAGTCTTCAAGCACATGGGATCACGTTCCTCTGCTCTAACAAAAAAACCCCAGCCAACAGCTCTGCTTTGCTTGGAAGCAGACATCACATGCATGCATGCATCCCTTGACGGAAATGTGTGTGTTGCACCTGTGAGCACAGGGGAACTGTCCCTAGAGTATTCCCTGTCCGTATTGGGGCTGATGCAGCCCAGCCAGGCACCTGGATACAATTAATGATCCCCTGCATCCTCTTGGATTCTGACCTAAATCTTGAAGGTAAAAGTCAGCCACAGAGACATTTTACAGCATCCTGCTGATCTTGCATCCTGCAAGATCTCTTGCCTTGAGTAAGACTTCTGCTGTCACTGCATGTTGAAGAACTAGACCATGTTTTGGAATAGGAGTGAAAAATTATATAAAAAGTGTAAACAACAGTGGCCTTGGGTGATGCTGCATTACTTGAAGCAAGTCATCTCTAGCTCTCTTCGAGGAGATGAAGCTCTTTTGGAGACAGGAAGGTGGTTGCTAATCTGTAAGAAGTCATAGCAATGAGCGTGGAGAGGAAACTGTTGCACTCCTGGCTTTCCTCTGCCTAGGGTGATGTCAAGACATGCATGTTTGTAGTTTTCTCCCCTCCTGCCACTGTCACCATGGGTTCTCATCCTCTTGAGAGCTTTTGCCTCTTGCTAATGGTGTCCATCTGACAGCCCTTTCTGCCTTTCCACTTACCTCTGCTTACTTCTTCCCTGGTGATGACAGGCATCTTCCAACAGTTATGGCTGATGGAAAGCTGGATGAACAGACCACTTTTTGAGCCTGGGGAGATGAAAGGAGCTACAAGGGCACGAGATGCTATCAGGCCATTGTAACAAAGGTTTCTAGATTGGCAGAGCTGACCAACAGCTGGGTGTTATGGAGTGGCTTCTTGAAATGATCCAGGAAAAGCCTAGCCTTTGAAAGCAATGCACTGAGGGTGCTTAAAAGAGAACTCTTCAAACACAAACAGCATTTACCTTTGAAGTGAAGAAATCTGAAGTGTAAATGCCTATTTGTTTGTGGCTTTTCCATGTGCACCAGGGCCAGCTTTTGTCCATGCAGCAGGCATGGATATTTAACCCGTCTTAGGATACCATCTGCCAGGATCATGTTCTCTGTCAGTTGCCTTCTGCTAACTCTTCTGTGCTGTTCCTCAAAATCCTTCTTCTTGTACAGCTACAGATCAGTGATCGGTGGGCGCCCCCGGCTAGTGAAGTTTGCCTACCCTTCTGAGCGGCTGCTGAAGTTGTCTGAACCTAAAAAATGCCACCCAGCTTTCCTGCAACAAAGGTGAGAGGCTAGAAAGCCTATAGGGTGCTACAGGTAGGCCCTTGGGCCTTGTAGCATCAGTGCAGCTTCAAAGTAATAAATGCAGCAACAGAGGATGGGTATAACAGAGAGCAAAATTCAGAGTGGGGTCTCTGCTGGGATTAGAACTTCTGGATGCTCTCATGGGATGAGTTCTACACTGGAAATGGCCACATACAAAGCTGCCTTCTACTGCAGCAAACATGAGACTTAATCGTCCCAGCTGCTGCCTGGTTAAAGCAGAGTGCGGGAGTATCTGAGTGGTGGTGCCATGACTCTCTGCTTCCAGATCCCCCGAGTGGCCCGTGTCACTATCTGCACTGACCTATAATGCCTCCCCACGGATCCTCGAGCTTGCCCGGCCAAAGTTGCTGCATCCAGAGTTCATTCCGCCCAGAGAGGTGAGGAGGTGGTTGAGTGAGATTTGGAGGGAAACGTGATGCAGCAAACTGTCCTGAGTTTTTACATCCTGTATCCTGCCCCTGGATGTGCCCAGTGTGTGCTATGGAGGGGAGAAGCTGTCTGGTTCTGCTGGGATTTATGATACTGAGAGAAACTGCCTTCTCAGAGTGAGATACTGTCTTTGCAAATCTCCCTACTGAGAGACAGAAAACAGCCAGGCTGGAGCAGCCTAGTATAGCAGGAGAGCCAAGGGAGGCATCTGGGCTGCATCCCCTGATAAAGCAGCCTGGAAAACTGGAGAAACCTGATGGGAATGGTCTGTTTAGCTCTTAGGGAGTACGGTCACGTTTGTAGTTGGGCAGCTTTGCTCCTATCTATGTATATAGGGGGCATGAGATTGCAAACACTGTGTATTTTAACAGTGTTTTACTAGAAGCCTAATTTAGAGACTTATTTCTGAACTTGTTCCTTTTAGGTGGGTCATTGGTTTGGCAGGGGTGAAAGGGCTTGGAGCAATCTCAGATTACACTCATTTCTGTGGCAAAGGCTAGACTGCATGGATGCAGTCTCTGGGGCTGGGAAATGAGAGGCTGTGCTGGAGCAGGATTTGGCAACGGGAACCCTGTGAAAAATAGGGAAGAAGTCCCTTGCTGGAGCAGCAATCACTTTTTCCATAGGAATGCAGTTAACTGTACCAGCCCTTTTACCCTGAAATCTGTGTGTCTCTCCCTAGGAGGGAAATCATTTGATTCAGCCAGGAAGATGAACATGAAAAACATGGAAGAAATTTCTCTGCTACAGGGAGAAATTTACTTGGCTACACATGCTCTCATTACTGGCATTCCTCTCCTGGCTATGAGTAGGCAAGAGTGGGGAAAAGAAGTGATAGTGGCTATGACATACAAATCCCTATAACACTGAAATTACCTTATAGTTCAGGTGAAAAAAGAACAGTGAGTGCTGGGGAAGTAAGAGTGCTCCTTCTTGTGACCATGTCTGCAGAGGAAGGGTGCTGAGGTGCTCATCCTTGTGGAGAGGGAGCGTGTCCCTGTGGGCTGCTGTGGACAAGCTCTGTATCTGCACATCCCTCCTCCATTCTGAACCCATGCAGGTGCCAACACAGGTTCCAACTCCTGCGACCTTGGCCAGCCCATCCGCGCGGATAGAGCGTCTGGCAGAGCCCTGTGTCAGGCAGGCGACCTGCTGCTATAAGCACAGCTATCCTGAATCTGTCATTCGTCCGGTAAGACAGCATCACCCGGGACTCTGTATGGAAGGGACTCTTGGCAGAGGAGAGGGCACGGGTGCTCAGTCCCTTGTGGCTCTCTTCATGGCAGCCCTGGATGTGCTGCTCTCTATAAGGCTGATGTAGCTGCTTCCTGAGCTGGAAAGCAGGACTCATCTTCCATTCAGAACATGAGCTGACTCCCACAGATGTCCCCAGAGAATGGCAGAGCTGAGCCTAACCTGCAGTTGTGGGGATGGGGAGAGGGAGACAAGTGTCTAACCAGGATCTCCAGTGCTGCAGGGTGGGTTGGACAAAGGGCTGTGGGTAAGGGGAGGCTGGAGGGCAGGTTGTGGGAATGGCCAGGCAGTAATTTCTGCTTCTACAGTTTGTCTGGTGCCAAACATGTCTGAGGACAGGATCGTGTCCCACCTGCTTGTAGTATGTGGCTGTGAACCTGGGTGCACTGAGTTACTGGAGGCTGACCACCCCTGAATTCCAGGAGCACCTCTAAGGACCTTCCTCCTAATTCTTCCACAGGTTTCCAAGTCAGCTCAGCAGGCAGTTGCGAGCCCTCGGACCATTGAGCTGGCTAGGCCAAAGAAACTGCATTCTAAGTACGAGGCCCCGCGGGATCCTCAGTGGCCAGTGTCAGAGGCTGCCAAGCGTGCAGTGGCTACACCAAGGATTGTGGAACTGGCCCAGCCTGGCAAAAGGTAGGTGCTGCTTCCCTGTCATGGGGAAATTATCAGCTGCCAGCCCATTTTCTGCAGGCTGTAGCACCTTGTTGATTTGTGTTTGGCCAGTGAGATTAAGCCACTGTTCTTCCAACTTCCAAAATGCATGGATTTTCTACGTCTGGATGTGATAATGCTACATGGGTTGTGCACTTTTGAGGTGGAAGGAGAGTCAAAAGAGAAGAAATAGGAACTTTCTAATTCCAGCAGGAATTACTGGTTGGGACTTCTTATTAATTACTATCATAAAAATCACCCAACTGTCACAGGGCACAGTGTAGCACATTCATGTTGCCAGCATGATGCAGCTGGCCTCAGCGCAGCCTGCAGGAAGTGCTGGATAGGATGTTTCACAGAGGGTGGGGGAATGCCTGACTGTAGTGACTGCCAGACAGTCCCTCTCCTGGTGACAGCAGTGGAGGCATGATTCCTTTTGTCCTCCCTTGACAGGGAGGGGCAGGGCGCAGGTGGAGGTGTGTCAGCTGCCAGGCAGCTGGCAGCTGGCCCTGCTCTAGTCGGGAATGACCATCCCTACTCTCTCTCCCTCAGGCCTCCTATGGGCTTGGCTCAATTCAACCTAGATGCATTCAGAGTGAAGGAGACTGCTATGAAGGCAACTTGTTCTGATCGGATACGAGAACTAGCTCGCCCAGTTCAGCGCTAAGCTCCCTCAGAAATGCACCTGCCAGCTGCCCCCATCATCCCTTGGAACATCACTCTCTCTGGGATGTGCTGTGGGTAGAAAATCTACTTGAACACAGAGCAGAGGCAGCACTCAGCAGGAACACTTTCTGGGAATTCAAATAAAATGGTCACTCCTTAAGAATAGTCACCAGGGGAAATGAACAGAATTTGACCTAATGTGGGAAGCCTCTCTCCCTAGGATGGGTTATGTCTGCAGTTTCTCTCCTTATTGTTTTGCTGTAATAGTTAAAGAAGTAATGAAACAACTGCTGGGGGAAAGCAGCACAGGACCTGTTCTTTCACACAAGAAAGTGTGGCAAACCAAATGCAACAGCATGCAGTAGGGTGATGCAACACAACTCCTGAACTTGGGTTTAAAAATTTTTGCTTAAGTTTAAAGAACTTCTTACTGACACTCAAAGTTTTGTGCTTGTGACAGAAGTAGAGACACAAAAGGCTGCAATGTATGTTGAGTTGGCTTGGATTTGGGGCCTGTTTTCTCAAATGCCTGGAGAACAGGCAGATCCAGCCTTTTCTGTTGCATGCATCTTTGATACACATTATGCATCTGGGTAAAATCTGTGCAGTTCAGATACTCAGTTGTGTGACCCTGGGCAAAATAAGGGACCTCTGCATTGGGATTTTTGGAGCCTAAGTCAAAAAAGCAGAGTTCCCTCAGTGTAAGAAAGAAAGCACATTGCAAAGGTTAAGAAGAAAACAGATATTGATGCCAGACTCTGCAGAACAAATTCTGAGCTCCAGTCGAGTCTGAGAGCAAGTCAGTTTGGCAGCTGGATTGCAGGGGAACAACGTAGCCTTTGCGGGACATGGCATGGGGAGAATGCTTTTATCTGTTTTCTACAAGTTTGGTGTGCTTTGCACTGGCAGCCCAACCACTGGCAATGGGCTGGAGATACTGGGGCAAGAGAGATGCTCACCAGCAAGGGACAAAAGCCACAAATGAAAGCATGTGGCAGTTTCAGAGTCAATGTATTATAATCTTCCCTGTGTTAAGCTGATTCTCCTTCCAAAGAAGTAGAGGCAGGTGACCACAAACCAGAAGGGGATTAATCAGAGGATCCATTAATCAATTCAGTAATCCACTAAGCAGAGGACTTTTGAACCCTTTTGAACAAGGTAAGGTCACTGGGAAATGGTGCTGGTTATTTTTAGACCATGCATTGTCCTGTACCAGGATGGATGAGAGTTTGGGTTTTGTGCAAAAGCCCCAGCACAATTGCATTCCTCAGGCCTGAGAATGGCCAAGAGGAGGCTGGAGTCTGCCCCCTACACCTCTCACCCTGTGGGAGAACCCCAGCAGCACCAGCCTCTGCCACCTCAAGGCTTAGGGTGTGCATGGGGCTGTATGGGCTGCTGTGCAGGGACCCATGGGTGTCCTAGAAGATGAGGTTGCCCGTGTCTGCAGGCTGTCCCTGTGGCAAGAGGGAAAACCCACAGTGGCCGCTGAGGCCATCTTGGAGAAATGTTGCCTTCCCAGAGGAAGGAGTCTGCCTCCTGCCATTAGGGCAGGGAACACAAGCAGGGACATAACACAGCTCCTCTCATCAAAAAACATTGTTTTTTTTATTATTGCATTGGGGGGAAAAAAACCCCAACCTACTAGTTCTTTCTCTTTGTTGACCTTTAACAAAAAGGTAAAAAAGGCATTCAGGGAGGGCTTGGCTTGGTCTGATTATGGTGTAGGCACTTGGTTTGCCAAGATCCAGAGCTGACTCTGGCATCTTGAGCTAAATAAGGTCACCTGAACAACACATCTGGTTTTCCAGGTGCCCCGCTCTCTGGAGTATCTCTACCTTAAAGCTAGTACATATACTTTGCCTCTGGGGATTGTAAGGAAAATGAATCTTTATTTCCTCTTTCTATATTTGAACATGTTTCATGGCAGCTTTTCTGCAAGCCTGGGACAAGAGCATGAGATTGCCTTGTCCTGTGCAGCTGCTGTTAATGGGTTGGAATCACTAGACAGGTTACCAGCCATCAAAAGCTGTATACACACACACATACATATATATATATATATATATATAATGTTCTTTTTTTGGTTATGTACATGTTAAATAAAACTTATGTTAAATAGCAGAGTATTACTTTATATCGCAAAACCTATTGCAACAGAAGAACCCAGCAAAACCCACTCTGAAGAGCTTCACCATCATTTATAGGAGGCATGGAGATCAGAGCAGCATCCTCTAGTCCCTGACAGACCCGCTTTCTGAGGGCAGTCCTTCAGACTTCCTCCACTCTGCCAGGCGCTGCTTGAACCATTTCTGGAGAGAAAGAACAGAGCAGGGGTTGAGTGCACTGGGCTGAGCGAACCCTCCAAATAACTTTGCTAAAGGTGCAGATGTGGTCAGCACGTGGGACCAGGCAAGGGAAACTCATGGTACTGCTTCTTGTAGCAAGGCACTGTACTGTTCCCAGGCAGTACAGACAGTCGCTCCTGACCAAACGGTCTTGTTAAACTACATGTGCACCTCTTTCAAACTCATTTCTCTTGCTCACTTCAGACTTTGACAGCATGGATGACTTCTTATTTTATTGCTGTGAGTCCAGGGTTTTCTTGTAAACAGAATAAGAGATTGGCTAAGGAGCTGGATGATGTCTGTTTAAATGATTGGAGCAGTGAACAATCACTTGCAGGTCCAAAACTGACAGGAATCAAAAGTTGAACTGCTTCAGGAAGGATGAGAGAGACAGCACAGTGGCTCTCAACAAATTTAAGAACAAATAGATTTTAAAAATTGTTTAAAAATTATCAGTCTTCAAGCAATATGCATGTCTATGTTCTTCTTTAGTAACTTAGCATCTGTAAGCCAACTTCAAGAGCTGCTGATGCCATTTCAGCACAGCCACAATTTAAAATATTAGATAAAATGCATCTGGTTAAAGCAACACTACCTAAGAAGAAAAGTAAGAAAAGAGATATAACTCATATGCCGGAAGCACAGCTCAGCCTTTTGTTTGGCAATGTGCCTGTGATTCCTTTTGTCGCAGCTCATCTTGTTGCTATATTTGTTCATGACTATTTTTGAAGCTATTATGGTCCATAATGATACAACCACAGTGCTCTGTATAAGTGTCTCTTGCACTCACACTGCCTTGGACCACATCCAGTCAGATGATCGACAGCCTAGCTTCCTCCCAAAAATGTCACTTTCTGTCCTAAACCATCATCTCCCGTTGACTCAGTACCTCTTTGCATCTCATTTTTACTGAATTTTTTATTAAAATGGCTGCTATTTCTAGCTGATAAAGCACTCCAGATGTCAGGAGCAATGGTTCTCTGTGTTATGCGCAGTGCGGGCACTTTGCAGCTCACCATCCCAATCTTGATCCTGTCCCTAATGTGACCTTCATCTCCAGATCTCTAGGAGCACCCTCGACTTGTGGAAAAAGAGGGCTATCAGGGAAGATTTTAAGATATATGGGCATATCTTAAAACATATATGACCTGCTTTTACAACTTGCTTTAGGAAAAAAAAATGGAACAGTGCCATTTCTAAGGAGAAAAAGGTATTTTAGGGGTACTGCCTCCTTGCTGCCTCAAATAAGCAGTGATACCTGCCTGTCACCAAAGCACAGTAGAGGAGGGGTCCCCTTTTCCACTCCAGCCAAGGACTATCAGTGCAATGGATGCTGTACCAGCATCCTTCCCTGGGACAGGCTAAATGCTAACACTGCTTGCTTACTCGCTCTTATATCCTTTTGGCTTTGCTGAGGGACAGCCAGGCTTGGCAGCTCTCTGCAAACTGCTGCTAACTTTCCAGTGTGTTGGATTTCTTTTCTATACCCATCAATGCTGCTATGAGTCTAGTAGCTTATAAAACACCTGCATCAAAATGAGCTGCACCGCAACCTGAAGGAATTGGGAAGGAGCCGTTCGCTTCTGAAGCCTGTGGTAGCCTGCAGGTAGGCAGATGGAGCACAGGGCTTGGTGGAATTCCCAGACAGTGGCAACCTGTCCCTGTGAAGGGTTATTTGGAGGCCTCTGTGTCTCCTGGAAAGGCTCACAGACTTGCCTGACATCTGGGCTTGGGGACTCTGGGGTATCTAATTGCAGTGAGAGGGAGTGTGCCCAGCCTGAGCATGTCCCGCAGCACATCCTGCAGGTGTTGCATCTATCCGGTATCTATTTTTAAATGACTGTAGTTTCTTCAGACCATAAAGTCAGCAGTGGTTTGGGCACCCAAGACTATCAGAAATGGGTTGGAAGAACAGCATGCATGGATTGTACATTCAGGGGCAGGAACATACAGGGTGCAGGGAGCATGTGGGTTACAGGGATGTGCTATGTTGCAGTAGAGCTTTGTGGGTGCAGTGTGGGGCTAGGGGTGTGCTGGGGGTTACAGAGGTGCAGAGGAGATTGTGGGTGCAGCATGGGGTGCAGTGAGCAATATGCGCATGGGACACAGAGGAGTGCAGAGCACGTGAGGGGGAGCACGAGAGGTGCAGGGGCTGCTGTAGAAAGCCTGTGAGGGGACAGACAGATACAGATGTATGATGGAGAGACCAGGACAGGACAGGCAGGAGATGTGAGGAGAGTGTATGGGGCACAGAGGCATGCAGGGGGTGCAGGACTGGAGCCAAGGGAGGGGTGGGGGGCATACACTCACCAGGGTCTGCTCCTCGGAGAGTCCGGTCTCAGCTGCAATGAGGCACAGCGTGGTGGGGTCAGGATGCTTGTTCACCTTGCAGAAGTTGTACTCCAGGATCTCCAGCTGCTCCTCAGTGGGAGTCACTGGCTTTTCCGTGGCCATCTTCTCCTGGGGCAGGGCTATGGGGCCAGGCACTGCAGAGGGGGGCCGGTGTCATTGCTCAAGCTGGAAGTGGTCAGTGGGGCCACACTTGCTGAGCCCCAGATTTGCCATCCCTGTCCCCACCAGCTCCCCCCTCCGCAGTGGCCTCTGGCTGTGGCAGGGCACAACTCCCTCCCCGAAGACATGCCACAACTCCCTTCCCAAAGACATGCCACAGAGCTCAGCTGGGAGTGCCAACCCCCCAGCCTCCCAGCAACTCCTGCCTCAGTTTCCTTACTACAGCAACCGCACGCCAACAGTGCCCAGCTGAGCTGTCTCACCATTCTTAGCTGGCAGGAAACTGCAGGCTGCTCAGCGCTCTCCTGGTGCTGTATTTATAGCCAGTGTGACTCCCATGGGGACGATTCCTGTTTACAGCCGTATTTAGGCCTGGGCGTCACTTAGGAGTGATGTCACAGCAATGGGAATGTTCAGGGGGGTAATTTAAAGACATTAGTTAAAAAACATTATTTATCCTCTGGGTGAAGGGACAATATCTGGCATCCAGCCTAAGAGGTTGGTGTTTTTTTTTCCTTACTTTCCAGTGATCAGGAAAGTTTGTGCAAGGGAATCACAAACCAGAGAATGCAGAATCTTTTGGGAGCATGGTCTTTGACGCAGCAATCACTCTATTTCCCCTCTTCCTGATCAGTGTCCTGGTTCTCCTCTTAGCAACATGGCCAGACATCACACAAAGCTGGTGATGAGTGGGTTAGCTGCTTTGTTTTTACTAATATTTAATGTTATCATGCATGGGCATAAACAGTTAGTCCTACTACTCCTGAGCATCACTGAACTATTTGTTTGGGTTTTGGTGTATAAGTGAAGGGTCAGTCCTCAGAGGACTGCACCCCATGCATATCTGTTGCCTTTGGCTGTGGTCAGTGCTAGGTGTTCCCAGCAATGGCAGAAACAAGAAGCCCATATTGTCCTCCAGAGTAACATTTGTCCCACTTGTGCTTTGCATAAATCTCTGGAAGGCTTAGCCCAAAAGCACAAACAAAACAAGTAAGTCCCACACCTCTCTTCTGCTGGGTTTCAGGTTAGCTGCTGTGTGGCAGAGGGTCGAGCTTGCCAATTCAGTTAACTAAGACACAAGGCGTTGCCCCCACAAAGCATGCAGAAGTCCCTTGATGCTGAATCATTTTGGTGTTTTCGAAACCAGGCTGTCGGGTGTTGGTGGGGGAGGAGCTGGATGCAAAAATGTGGCCTTTCTTGATCTGCTCTCCTGCTGTCCAAGTTGCCTGGCCCATCTCTGTCAGGTGGGCTGGTTGGTATTGCTGGCTCTCCAGTGCTGCCAGGAGCCCTTGGCCCACCTTGGTACTCCTCTGGGCCATCCACTGCAGACTTGCCCTGCCTCCACACTGCAGTCCAGCTTCTCCTTTCCTTTGGCTCTGGGATGTAACCCAGGCACCTCCATGCTGCACCCATACTGAATAGCTTTAAACCCAAGCACTTTCTTGGCAGACTGATAACTCACCTGGGTACCCTGGGATACTGAATGCCCCAGGGCTTTCACTTGCTGACAAAACTGCTAGGATGGAGCTCAGCCTCAAAACTGTTTTGCAGCTTTCAAAGAACCAGCTCTGCTGTTCATCAGAGTCTGGAGAGATCCTCCTCTTTGAGCTTTACCTCATAAAGCAAAGGCCCTCCTGAACCTAGTCTGCAGAAGCTGCTTTGACTAACAAAAGAATCCTTTGGCATTTGAGTAGGGGCTTATAAATAGACCAGGGCTGGTTGTGAAACAGCCCACTCTGCTTGAGTCACTCGATAAATACTGATTGTAACATAGTGGTTGCGAAAGGTTGCAGCACCTCTGAGTGTGATGGAGTGCTGGTAGACAGTATCATCCACTAGCCCTGGATGGACTGGTGAAAGCCTGGCTTTAACTCCAGGTACTGCAAGCCGATCTGGCCTTGTCTACAGAGAGTTGCAGCTGCCTGGGCTTTCTTGGGGTCAGCTCAGTTCAGAGGCATCCATATAGGAAGGGAGCAGCCAAAATTCAGTTCCTCATGCATGTGAGGTAGTGGGGGTCTGCTGAATGCTGCTCACCTGCGTTGGGCATTTGGAGACCTCTGGAAAAGATGCAGGGGGAGAAGGAGGTCCCCTGGACTTCAGGTACTGCTCTCCAGCACCATGGCTGCCAGGCTCTCCATGAGGTCAAAGTGCAGATGAGGCCAAGCTCAAGCCACAAGTCCTGCCTCTCCTCCTTGATCAGCACTCCACTGAGCCACCTGCCCTTCTCCTAGAAAGCCCAGCCACCACAGGGCTCCTCACACCTCTGGATCATACATCTAGCTTGGGCCACCAGCAGCAACATGTCTTGGCGATTCATAAATCATTGTTTGCAGCCTGCTGCATTAATATACATTAATGTGAGTGCATTGATTTGCATAGGGAGCGTGTGCCTCAACTTTCATGTTTCACCTGCACAGCTGTTTCTGTTTATCTCCAGGTTCCTGAGGCATTTCCCCATAGGACACAGTGTCTTCTACCTGCTGGCAGCCCAGGGTGCTCCAGCATGCACAATGTGATGCCCAATGGCTTTTCCTTGTCTCCCCTCTAACCCTACTCTGGAAGGACAACAGTTCCTACCTCTCAAGGCTGTGAGATGGCTTTCAGGAAAAGGCCAAAACCCTGGGGCTCCTGGAGGGCTCTACAGGTCTCCCCACATCATTCCACTAAGTCCTGGAGGCTTTCAGGAGCCATGTGGCCCCTGTGCAACACGCAGCATCCAGCATTTAGCACCTCTTGGGTGCTAAAAATTGGGGTATACAACACAACTTGAAGGCATGAGGAATGCCTAAATGTCCTGATTGGCCCTACCTGGACCACTTCTCACCTGCTTTCTATTTAAATGGAGGCTCATTTAAGCCCAGGCCTGCACCCTGGCCTTCAGGCTGCCTAGGACCTCTCCCCTGTACAGGAAAGGTACAAATGTCTTGCTTATACTTCTCTAAGCCTGGCAGAAAGATGGAGACTCATAGCTGTTTGGCTCAGCTGCTGAAAATCACCGCTGCTCACTGCTTTTTCCTGCCTAAAGTTTTGAAGGCATTGGAAAAAAATGGTTTTTTTCAGTGCAAAGGATATTAACCATCTACTTGGCTTTCAGAAAGTCTGTGGGGCTGCAGTTGTCATTCAGCTCTGTGAACAGTCCCCTGAGAGCTGTGTGTCAGGGGTTTACCCACACAGGCAGAAATGACAATGCCAGATGCACTGTCACAGTGAAACCACCACAGCTTTGGTGACACCTGCTCTGTCCTAAGTGTCAAGCTAAAAACCCCTGGGGAATTCACACTTGGCTCTGACTATCTTTGTTTTAGGTGGAGCAGTGTAAGAGCAGAAGCTTGCAAGGGGTTCAGCGGTTGCCTGTGCTGTGGGCGGCTCCAGCCAGCCTTGCTGTGTACATGACAGCACCTGGTGCTCTTAGTGTGGCTGATAGGGCATTGAAGTGGACCTCCAGAACCATTTTGGAGTGAGCAGAGAAAAGGTCATTACTGATGGACACAAGTTGCAGCAAGAGAAAGTCTTACTAGATAGATAGATAGATAGATAGATAGATATTGTACTATCTGTGTCCTGTGGTTGCATCCAGCTCCTCAGAGACACCCCAAGTTACTAGCAGGACTCCTAGCTCTGGCCTGAAATGGGAGAGGACATCCCTCTGTCTCCCAGCATGCTTGCCCAGCACTGCTAGTGCAGTCAGCATTTACTATCCTGGCAGAAATCTGCTGCTTTTCCAGAAAAGACATGATCTCTGTTTGCTCAGGTTTGCTTTTTTTGAACAGTAGTCACAATAGCTGGCTGGCTGTGTAACTTTCTAACAATTTACTGCACCCAAAGCCCCTGGAAATCTCTCTGAGCAGTAGCTCCTGCCAAGGTGATGGGGCCCCCATAGCCCCTGTTGGGCTTCTTGCCCCCTTCCCCAGTGCTCCCACTGTCAGGGCTCGGATGCAACTGGAGGCATCTGCATCTGGTTTTACCCTGCAGCTATTTCCTGCCACTGCAGGGATCAAAATAGCAGTTCTCAATGCAAACGAGCCCTCTAACCCTGCCTTGCTCTGCTGCAGAGCCATGTCTTGTCCTGAGCTTTGCTTGGCCTCTTGCTGTGGGGTGGCTGTGGATAACATCAGCCAGCATGGTGCACAGGATAAGGTGGGACAGAGGCTTTAAAAATAAACCAGACCCTGCCATAAATAAGGAAAAACCACCTGTCATGCGTCCGGTAAACCACCCGTTGAGCCTTTTAAAAGATAATATCGGATGGGAACAAAGCAAACAGCACAGCAGCTGCTGCAGCAGAGGCAGGTCCCCGTGGTAGCTCCCGCCTGGGGTCTCTGCCTGCCTGTGCGCCCCTTGCCCTGCCCCAGGCATGAAGCTTTCTCACCCAGCCCGGCTGGGTGCAGCTCCAACCTCCGCAGCACCAATACTCACAGGGCAGCTCCTCCCTTCATCACCCACCTCCCCATCCCCAACAGCAAATCCACCCCAGCATCCCTAGCTCAAAACATGTGCTTACCTGGAGCTGGCAGGGACCAGAAGTGTGTAAAACGAGAACCCCGCAGGTCCTTGGGTGACTGCTTAAGTATCTGCGTGTGTGTGTGACAGGCGGGGACCTGAAAAACCTGCCGCAAATCACAGGAGCTCCCGGGATCCACAGCCACTCTCTGGGCTGGTAATTCAGGTTTGGCATCCACTCTCCTTGGCAGGGCTCAACGCATGGTTGTACGCGCTGCGGGGCTCTCGGACGGGTGGCACCGGCAGCCGTCGGGGTTCGTCCCGCCACTCTCCGGGCTGATGGACACCGTCCTACGGGCCCCGGGCGAGGGCTGCTGGGGCTGTTTCCTGCAGGGGTACAGGAAGGGTGAAGGCGGGGTGCGGCGGAAACTGCGCTGAGCTGTTCGTTCATCTGCACTCCCTGTCCTGCTCGGCCAGGATGGGTCCCGCTCCCCTGCCGCGGGGAGCCCCGCTCCTGGCTTTGCTGATGGAGTACGGCGGCGCTCACTCCTTTGCAGGGTTGGCTTCTGATCTCACTTCAGTCTCTTGCAAATGATGTGTCCAGGTTTAACATTCCTGACTCTGCTGTCACTTTGGTCAGCCATGTGATCCCGCCAGGCTGGGTGTAGGGGCAGGACTGGCCCTGGATCTGACCTGCAGCTGCAGCCCAAGTGCCCTCCAGAGGCATGGGACAGGAGCCTGGCTGGGAATGGGGAGGAGGGTAGAGCATCCTCTTCTGCCAAAGACCTATACTCTCCTCGGTTAAAGTGCCCAGGAGCCTGCAGTTCCCACTGGGGTGGTCTGGAAGCATTAGACATCATCTTAAAAAGAGTCAGCTTGTGGGGTGGGGTGCAGCAGGGAGGGGCTGAATTTCTCTCAGCTTATAGACAGCTGGAGGGGGATGCTGGAAAATCAGAGAGGCTGGAGAAAGGGCTCATGAAAAATTGAGTATGAGTTGCAATGGCTGAGATTATCTGCCAGAGCAAAATGCAGACTGGCACAGGATGCAAAAAACTGTGGAGCTGGCTGGAGCCAGGGCCAGGGAGCCCTGCCCCTGGGGAGAAGTGGCTGGACAAACACAAGAAACCTGCCATATGTTTAGCAATGAGCCAAAACCATCCCAAAGAGGTTTTTAATGTTGGGGGAAACATGGACCAAGGCAAGGGGATTGCAAAGACATCTGTGCTGAAGGGCAGGCAGACCTGTGCCAATTTTCCTGGCAGGATGACATTTATGAAACAAGAGTGCTTTTGCTACAGGGATAGCTTCACTGCCTGATAAAGCAAGTGGTGCTGTTCAGTGGCTGACAGAGGAGGTTTTTTGGAGAAGACTTGATCCTGCATGCCTTGGACAGGCACCTGGCCAAGGAATTACGTCCTGTTTATCACAGGTGTTAAGCAACAGGAACATGGGTAGCAATGGGTGTGGACAGGCAGGTTGGAAGATGTGTCCGACGGGATGACTCCAGCAGCCATGGCTGGGGGACATCAGGGTGCATTCAAGGAGGCTGGAGCAGACCCCTGCAGCAGCAGTCAGCCCTGGATTTCAAACCCAGTGTGGGAAAATCCAGGTAGAGGTCCCGAACTGCATACTGTCACGTGCTTAGGGGAGCTCCGGTGGATATTGCTACTTACCTGCCCCATACCCGTGCTCTGCTCTGGCATCTGCTCTTGGCTAACCTTGGAGAGAGGATAGATGGGAAAATACTCTGCCCAGAAACATTTTCCTATGTTTGTATGCAGTCTTTTATTTTTTTCCATGCATATGCCCCAAGCATTGCAAAATGTGAGTAACCTGGCCCACAGGAACAGGATGGGCTCCTCTCTTCCCTTGTTTATTACTTTCAACAGAAAGAAAGTCTTTAATGTGGAAAAACCCTTTTCCCTTAGCCTGTCAACCCAGCCCAGATTTGCACTGGGAGCACTGGCAGTGACGTGTTTCAGGCTGAGACACGCCACTGAAATGTCTTCAGAGGTGCTGGGAGTCCTGAAGTGGTGACAGCGCGAAAGTCACGTCATGAATCTACCCACATGTGGCTGGCACATGCTAATGCTTTCCTGATCTTTTCTGAAATCTTTTAGGCCTCATTTCTCCTCCTGGGAGAGAGTCAAAGTACTGCTGGAGTTTATGCCTCACCTGGTATGAAGTGATCCTGTCCCCAGAGGATGTCCCTTTGTCAGCAGAATTAGATTAAATAGAAACAAAATGCAGGATGCATCCAGGCCCATCACAGAGAATTTTTCCTGATGGGGAAGAAGTACAGTTGTTGTGATGTGTATTTGACAGTCTTGCAAGATACTATGGCATTGCAGGGAGTTGACAGCTGCAGCCTGCATTCAGCACCCCACTCCTCTGGACCCCTCTTGGAGAGGCTTGAATATCATCCATGTTGCTCCATGGCAACATGTTGGCTGCAGTCACTTTGGGGGGAGCACTGGACACACAGTTCATGGCTATCCTGGCCCAAATGTTGTCCCCCTAAAGCTGCATGGAGACAGAATGGAAAAAAGATGAAGAGTAGAGGGGGTAGCAACTCGTCAGGCTGTCAGGATAGAATGGGATATAATTTAGCTTTTCTGACTTGTTCATATTGCCTCCTTTTCATGCATCTATCTCTCTTGAATTTTGCCATGTTTTCTTTCCTGAAAATGAGGCTTAGTACCAGCACCTCTTGTCTGGGCATTAAGCAGAGATTTCTTTCTTTTTCTAACTGTGTGAATTAAAAAATGTGCGCTTTCCAGACACTCCACCCCAACCCAACTGTCAGACAGAGAGCAAAACCTTCCTTTCTCCCTCTGAACATACCAATGCAAAGGAGAACCTCAAAAGCCATCTTCTGTTTTGTTTTTCAGTGTTTTTTTTCCTGGTGTGCTGGGGTTTTCTGGCTGCTAATCCAAAAAATGTGGCTGGAAACAAGGCTTTACTGAATATTTTGGCTTCCATTCAGTCAGAGAAGAGTTTCCTAACCAGCCAGTACTCACTTACAGGACAACTCTTGCAGTAAATCAGATGAGATTTCTACCTGCATACACCGCTTGCCCCAGAACAGCGTAAGAAATCAGTTGCTCTTCAGGGTGCAGCTAACAATTGCCTTTGATATCCCAAAACACAAGAACCTGACTGAATCATTGACCTTTTGATCAGTTTTTCCCTAGGAGAGCAGAAACACTAGCTGCAGCCAGAGAGTCAGCAGCATGCAGTGCTCACTCAGACCATGCCCTGGGCAGGGGGTAGAGGCGGTGGGCACAGGTGGCCCCTTGCTGCTGGAGCAGGGCTGCCTGCTGCCCACCCGGCCTCAGCAACTGCCTCTCCTGCACTCTCCTTCATGCATTTTCCTTTTTTATTAGTGGGCAGGGTTCAGCCTGTCTCTCCTCAGCATTAGAACAGATCCAAGCCAGCCAGATACTAATCAGATGTGACTTCCAGTAAGATCCCTGCCTTTACTTTGTGGGATACAGTCGTGTGGATGGAAACTGCAATGTTTTATTATTCTTCCAGTTGTTCCAATACTTCTCAGAGAACAGTGTCATCTCATTGGTATTTCCATGTGCAATCTCTGCCTGGGGTACAGTCTTCCTACTCTCCCTCTCACTAACCAGATTGTTTTGAAGTGACTAAACCAGGAGCTGATACATGCAGTTCCTTGCCAGGAGGATTTTCAACAGCACTGCCATTGCTTGTGGGCAGAGCGTGCCCCAGCATGCAGAGACAGCCGGCAGGGCATCTCATGTGTGAGCCACCTGACATGCCTAGCCCGGGAAAACATGGGCTCCAGCACTGGGGAGAGGCAGGGAGGAGGGCAGAGTAGAACTGCTTTCTACCCTGGAAGTGCCAGAGGTATGTGAAGGGGAGCGAGTGCCCTTCCACAGATTTGGATGGCCATGCGTTTTCAAGGGAGCAAGTCAGGGAGGCAGGGAGGCAACTCATGAGTTGAGATAAGAAACAGTTTAATACTTGAAACAAAGTAAAATATAATAATGATATTAAAATGTAACTACAACTAATCAATAAATAGTAATAATGATAACAATAATAATGAAAATCACAAACAAGAAAGATAAGTGATGCACAATACTATTGCTCACCACATGTTGACCAATGCCCAGTATTCTAAAATCTGTTCTGTTCTGAATCTCTAGGCTGAAGCCACCTGGTTTTGGAAATCCTGACTGAAATATTTCAGTGGTCATATACTTCAAGATCAAAGGAGGGACTTTATCCTTCCCCAGAGCAGGGATGAGCTCTCCCCAAACACTTGCCTGCCACCAACACCACCCTCTCAGTTGCAAGCAGGCATGCTATCCTGAAGCCCTGCTTCGAGGCTCCTAGTGGGTTGAGCACAGATGCTGACAATCCCCCGGCTGTCATGGAGGCCAGCCACTTACCTCAGCCTTCACCCTGAGGGACAAGGATCGTGTTTTCCCCCGTGCTGTCCCATGCCAGGCAGCCCATGGGTGCTGTGAGGGGCAGGCAGGGAGTCCCTGGCTGCAGGGGGTGCCTGGCCATTGCACCCACCTTGCAGCAGCAGTGCTGTGCAGCCAGCCCTGTGCTTTCTGTCGGACCAGTTTGGGGGGGAGAGGGCCTTGATCGGTGCCTACTGAGAGGTGACCCTGGTGCCACCAGCTGCTGGGGCATTGCCACAGCTGATGAACAGGATGGGTCATCTCCATGTGACACACACCACAGCTCCTGTGGCACCTGTGGTACCCCATGGCAGTGGCAGGTGACCAGGATGACTTGCAGAGTGACAGCGAACAGGGATGGAATGTAATGGAGACTGGCCCTCTGATCCAGCTGCTCTGCTGGGTGTCAGGGAGTGACTTCAGGGGCCCTATGCAATAAACTTTAAAAATGTTTTCTCCTTTAAGAGCCTGGTTGCTAAAGAGGTTTCCTGGGAAGCTAGCACTGACAGAGGCATCACAGCTACCTGGGTGCCAGCTGGCAACAGTCTTCTCTACACAGCTGGCTGTGGGGATGGTGGGTGAACACAACAGAGGCACTTACAGCTGGCTTCCTCATTGCTCTGACAGCCTCACCACCCCAGGGAATGGGTCACCCACCGTGGGACATCCCCTGCTCCTGGGAGCTCCCTCCTGCTCCAACTTTGGGGGCTGGGGCACTCCGCTGTCAGAGTGTCGGTGTGTGTCTAGTGTGTCCAGCAGGGAGGCTCCAGGATGGAGGAGGATGCCCCTTGCCATCTCTCAGGATACAGTGACTGGGCTGGTGATGCTTTCCAGGGAGCAGAGTGCAGTGCAGTGTTGCACAGGCCAGCAGC